AATTAGAATTTTATTTTGGGCATAACTTTACCAAAATATATTCAAATATACATATATTAAAATTTATACATTAATATTTTATATATATTTCCAAAAGGGCTTTCTTATTTTCTAAATTTTTTACTCCAAAAATTTGCCACTTCGATTGATGATTACTTCTTTTCGGTTTATGATTATTTCTCTTTTTTTATATAAATTTAGGTATATACATTAATTTATATATTTAATTATTAATTTATATACTTAACATGTTATATCTAATTATTTGTAATGCCGCAATGTGGAGCTCGGGATTAATTAGACACAAGTAGACTGAATCTAACTGTGTGCTGCCGCAAATATGTAGAAGCTCTAATGATCCGTTCGCAATTGGCAAACTTATTTCTAATTGTGTGCGGCCTTTTCTATCTGAAGCTTTAATAGTGTAAAGCATATAGCTTTACATATATAATATATAATATCTAATAGAATTAACCAGTTTTTCTTAACTAAAATTTATTATACTTTATTTATTAAAATAAAATTTGTCAATTTAGTTCTAGTCTTAAATAATAATGTTTGCCAATTTTATATACTATTAGAGCTTTGGTCTCACAGAAGAAAATTAAGATACTACATATATTTATTAAATTAAAGGTTTTTGGATAATTTATGAATCGTATAATTGACATTAAAAATTTTGATAGGGCTGAAAATCTAAGTTAAATAAATTATTTCTGGCATAAACATTTAATTTAAATTTTTCAGTTAAATTACAATTTTTTCCTAAGATAATGAAAGTATATACTGATTTTATTACTTTATCTTTACAAGTTAACTTTTCTTATTTAATTTTAACAATAGTCTATCTTTCTCTTGATTTAAAATATTATTTAGAATCTAATAAAATTTATTAAAACTTTTAACATTTCATCATATTTTTTATAGTTTATTCTTATACTTCATATAGCTAAATTATAAAAATTTCTAACTTATATTACATTAATAGTATTTATCATTTTACTTTAATTCTAAGCTCTTATATATCCCTCCATTTTTTCTTGTTGAGTTATTTTCTGAATAAACAACGTTATTTTTGAGGAAAAATTCTAGACTTTCCACTAATAGTCGTAATAATAATAGATTAATAATAGTGTTTTTCCGATATTTGTCTCTTCTTCATGTATCAAATCATTAATTGGCACCCAGCCGAGATAAAATATTAACAAATTATAAATTTATTATTAAAATTTCCTGTTTCTATATGGTTAATTTAATTACCCCAAAATAATTTTATTTTTTAGAATACTAACAATTATTTTTTTGACACATTCTTTACGCACCAATTAACTGATTCAATTGCATATTTTTGGTAAATTTTTTAAGATTTTAATTTTTTATTTTTTAGATAAAATAGTATTTATTCTATTAAAAGTCATAGCATCAATATTATATATAAGTTCGGCGACAAACGTTTTTAATAAAATCTATTGTAAAAAATTTATTTAGCATAAAAAAATGATAAAATATAATCAATAGGATATAATAATCATTTTTTTAAAGTAATTGCTCAAAATGACACACCCTGACTTAAATACACCCATCCAAACGCTTACGGTTGTAACTTACAATGGTCGCGCATTGTTCATCGGATATTTAGTTCCAGGCCCGCTCAAAACAACTTTCAGTTCCTCCTATGTTGCTTATCGGATCCAGCATACTTTTTGCTACAAGATTGCCCAAATAGATGATCCACGGATTTAAATCCGGCGAGTTTTTTTCCCCCAAAAGCTAGGAAACAGCTCCTCTCAGAGCTGGATTATCGTTTGGCTCCATGCGCGGGTACTCAATCCTACTAAAGCGAGAATTGTTTTCACCAAAATGCTATGACGCCTATGGATGCACAACCCCCCGCAGAATGTCATTTTTTTAGACTAGCATTAATTTTAAATTTCATCAGCTACCAGCTTCGACCAGGCATTTAATCTTTCGACATTTCTGAAGCCTCTGACAATTCTTAGGAGGCTCCTCGAGCTCATTCCGAGATCTGAGGCCGTTTTTCACATCGATTGTTCAGAAAAACAGCGAATTCGGCATCTGACCATGTTCATGTTGTTATGTATCGACTTGCGGTGTGTCCGATACTAACAGAAAGACTAACTAACAAGCTCACTAACAAGGTTTATCACAAAGGTAACAATACAATGGAAATGACGAGACTATGCGCTGGAGTAGAATGTAGCTTGACTACGGACTAAGACTGACTATAGACTGACTCAAGACTCACACAAGACTAACACTAGACTAACACTAGACTAACACTAGACTAACACACCCACTACTAAAAGGCTGCGCCTTTTATACTAAGCCGCCACCCTAACACCTCCCTTCTTTAATTAAGTCGGGACTATGTTTCCGACTTTTCCAACTAGACTTGGTGGACTTAAAAACTACTACTCTCCAACACAAAAACAAAACATTGAAAATACAACGGGCCAAAAATACAAAGTGAGCAACAAAAGGGGAGATACAATAATTACAAAAAAATTTACAACAACGATATTATCACAATTTATTTACTACCTACTTACATCTCTCATCTACTTCTATCGTCGTCGTCACAGTGCTCCCTTGTATTGGCTCATCTTTTGGCCTCGTCGCGTTCGGTGTGGCCGTCGTTGCTGGTGCTTCCTTCAAATTGGAACTAGACTCCAATTGACTGCGAGGTTGACCATGTGTCGAACCTTGATTACGGCTTTCATCTAACTTCATTGAATTTGGCCTAATTTGCCATTCTTCGCGACTGACTATGGCTCTCAGCCTTGGGACTTTGACTTTATATCCTTCCATGAATTTCCTCACAATAGTCCCAGGCAACCATACTTTCTTGCCATTCTTGCTCCTATTCATGACTAAGACTTCGTAGTCTTCTTTGAATCGACTAGAATTTCTCGATGACTTCTCCTTCTCTAAGAATCTTGACTTCGTCGAGCCTTGAGTAACACGACTACTCTTCGGACTATTCGACTTCTTACTCTTTCGATTCTTTTCCCGACTAATCTTTCTACTATTCTCGTTCAACTTCGGGACTTCTATCGTCAGGATGTGTGGGACTGAAGAATCAACTTCTACTTGATTTACTTCTGGACTATCAACTTGTTTAAACCGTTTCTTTGGTTTCTTACAATCTCGACTAATGTGTCCGACTATTCCACAATTATAACACTGACGCGACTCAACTTGGCGTTCTTTTTGCCTTGACTTAATTCTTGTCCGTTTCGACTGTCTGCTCTGACTATGTTCGATCCGACTAACAGCATTTACTTCAACAAACTCTTTAGGTCCACTTTTGACCTTTGCCTGAATATCGAACATTTTCGCCTCCGACTTATTTGCCAAATAACTTCTAACTTCCTCAATCAAGGCCTTCAACGTGCAGACTTCCGACTTGGCATACTTCTCAACAAATCTCAAACTTATCTGCCTTACATCCAGCGCCTTTTCTGGAATGCCAGCTATAAAGACTAGAATTTTGCATTCCTCGACTGTCAAGTCCATATTCGCTTTCTCGCATTCTGCATTGACTAGAGTCCCGAAATCTAGAATTTTCTCTACTGATGGGCATCTCATCTTCATGACTTCGAATCTTTTGACTAATTTCGATCTTGGGTCACTGAATTCCTTTTTCAGTACCGCGACTAGACTTTCGAAGTTCATTTCCTCTAACTTTTCCGGCAACATCTTCTGCGACATCTTCGCATATTCGACTCGGCCCAACTTCTCGACTAATAATCGGACTCTGACTTTTTCTTCTAAGGACTGCGCGTCTACTTCAAAGTAGGACTTGTTCTTAGCGTACCATGACTCAAATGTGACTCCTTTTTCAACATCTGACTGGAACTCTGCAATCAATGACTTCAGCTTACAATACAGTTCCGTCGACTCTTCCTCTTCAGACTTGATCGCAACTGACTGACTCTCTTTCATCATTTCAAGCCATTGAATTTGCATCTGTTGCGAACGAGCTTGCATTTGCTCTTGTGCCTGCAGCAATTTATCAAGCATATCATTCATTTCGACTGAATTATTTATCTAATCAAACTGACTTTTGACTATGGGTCTGCCTGTTCGATTTTTCGTTGACTACTCAATTAAGAGTTTAACTGCGACCGCGCCACTGTTATGTATCGACTTGCGGTGTGTCCGATACTAACAGAAAGACTAACTAACAAGCTCACTAACAAGGTTTATCACAAAGGTAACAATACAATGGAAATGACGAGACTATGCGCTGGAGTAGAATGTAGCTTGACTACGGACTAAGACTGACTATAGACTGACTCAAGACTCACACAAGACTAACACTAGACTAACACTAGACTAACACTAGACTAACACACCCACTACTAAAAGGCTGCGCCTTTTATACTAAGCCGCCACCCTAACACATGTAACTGCGGTTACCGGCCGGCCACTACTAGGGCAGTCCTGGGTATTTCCAAGCTCATGATATCGTTTTATTGCTTTGGAAACTAACATGTGGCAGATATCGAGCCGTCTAGCGATTTGACATTGTCAAACATTTTTAAAATACAAAGAAATAATAGAAGCACGATTCTTTAACATTCTGTAAAATTTTTACTTTATGAGATAGAAACAAATTTTCAAGATAAAATTTGTAGAGCGCGAATCATAGAATAAGGGAAATCTAAACAAAACGCAAAATATAAAGTAAATTTTGAGAAAGGACAAAACAAGATTTGTCGGGAGACGGGAATTCCCAACAAATTGGTTTTCGAAGGAGAGGAGAAGAGAGTCGTGGCACCAGCCAGTGTATAGTGGCACTGGCACCAGACTGTTGGTAGTGCCAACAGTCGAAGGAAGGAAGAAGGGCAGTTGAGTGACTCGGAGCACGAGTCACTTTAGCCTAACAAGAGTATGAGTGGTGAACGGTAGTGCCGTTCATCTTTTTTCCAACCACAAAGGAACACAAAGAAAGACCAGTTGACCACAACGAGTAAAATCCACCAAGAACCAGAATTCACACTGAGCATTGATTTCGAACAGTCGACTCAGTTGAACAAGTAGTGAACCAGGGCACGGTTGGTTCACTTTGAAACACCACAGAAACCAGGCACAGTCCAAACCAGTAAAAATTTATTCCACAAATAAAAAATCCAATTGAACATGGTAAGGCCAAAAAAAGTCCACAGGCAAGCCACACGTTGATCCCAAAAAATGGAAGTTGTAAGGAGTAGATAAGGATAAATTTTAAGGCTTGCCCGCCGACTTAAATAGAGATCAAAAAAGGGCGGGGATTGGCAATAAAACTCAAAAAATGCGAACTTGAAAATAATTTCTACAGAAGTATAGAAAACAAAATGTTTAGAGAGAACGGGGCAGAGAAAACAAGCAGGGAAAACAATATAAAGAATTACGTGGTGACAGGCACAGGCTGTCATTAAAAAATAGAGAAAGGAATTTTGGCGGGAAAAAAGATTGAGTGGACAACAAAAATTGAGGGGTGAACGGCTAAAAATTAACGAAGAGTGAACGGGTACAATTAAACGAAAAGACAATTCAAGGAAAAGTCGCCAATGTTTGGCGACAAAATTTGTCGCCGAACTTTTGCCCCATCCGTTGTTCATTAACTTAGTTACCCTTACCCGGAATAATGATTTTAAAAAAATATTAAATGGTGTATAAAAGCTCTGAATTTTATTTTACTGAATTTTAAATTTAGTTTTCTCCTACTTTATATATACAAATTTGTTATTTTTGAAATAAATGAAATGTATACTTATAAGTTATTTTCTGCCATTATTTTCAAGTATTTTTAATTTAAATACTAGCCAATTTATTACTTAAATATTTAAATTATCGATGTTTCTTAAAATGTTTCTCATAAAAATTTTTATAAATTAATTAGCTAAAGTTATTTTATTCAAAATACTCCAATTGACTAACTGATCTTTAGGTATATATATCGTCTTATTAGAAACTTTTTTAGTATCTAAATTTAAAATAATATGTTGGATATCTAGTTAAAACTTAATTTCATGCTTGACTTAAGTAATAATTTTTAAATTATTATTATGATTCATTATTACATTATTATACATATTTGTTCAAATGTTCTTTGTTATTTGACATATTGTACATGGAAAATTGCAGCACTACCTTGATGTCCGAAAAAATCCTTCAGAATTTCAGATCATCAAACAAAACCTTTTTTTGTTTTAATTGAGTAATATAGTATATTTTCGAGTAATAATAAATTTTTTTATTATTTATTCGTAATAATTCTAAGATTGTTACTTACAGTATGGGGCTTTACATTATGGGGTTCTTTTGTTTACACATTTTATTATTTTTTAAATTAAAATTCATATGTATTATCAAGAAATTTATATAAAAATTTCTCAATTATTCATTATTCTACCATTTTTAAAAATTACAGATAAAATAATCAGAAAAGCAGATAAGCTAAGAATATTTTATAAATAATAACTTTAGTTTTTTAAGAGTGAGGTAAAATTTTTATCGGAACAATTAATTTTGATTTTATTAATCTGTATATATAATCTGTATATATAAAAAATCCAATTGAACATGGTCTACTATTTTGGTGTTCTATTTATTGACATTAGCCTTTTGTCTTGCGCTTTTTAAATTATATTTTGCCTTTATTTCGCTTTTAAATATGTTTCAGCACACCCCTGTCAAATATCACATAGTATACACTATGATAAAGTACAATATAGGTAGCTTAGTTAAAGATAAGGGAAAAATCAAAAGCTGCCATTGGGATCAAAAAATTTATCTAGAGCTTAAGTCGTTGGTCACTTATCTTTTATAGTTGACAGAGATGTTCCTCATTAAGTCATTAATTTAAAATTAAGGAGAATTAAAAAATAGAGAATTAATTCATGGAGACTTAAACAATGGAGATTCAAACAATGACGAAGAATCAAACATTGACGGAATTTGCCAATATGTTTCTTCAGAGATTGGAAATGAAACTTTTATTCAAATGATAAAAAAACAAATGCTTTTCTATCAAAAATAAATGTATTGCTAAAAAGAAAGATTTTGGCAAAAAAATGAGTGAATTTGGTAAATCTGTTTATAAAGCTCTGAAGAATTGTGGACCTTATATCGCCTGGGGGTGGTATATATGCAATGTTATTGGTATTATTTTTATCTTTGTTATTTCGGGCATTTATTTTACATGCAAGATTTAAGCGAAATTCTGTCATCCCACTTCCTCCTATAAATCATAATACTCATTAAACTATAATTTAAGTTTTAAGAGTTAATGAGTTTGATCACGATATTTCATGCAATATAAAGGATATCCTCTAAAAACTTTGATACAAATTAATTTAACTCAGGATTTTGCTTATAAAGTTCATAGTTAAGTTTTATTATGATTTTCTTACAAATTACTACAATTAACCTTATATTTATAGTAACAAATATCCTTATTATTTTTAACATGGTATCACAAAAAATTACATTGCTTTTCTTAAATTCCCTTTTATTTGGGAATTTTTTTATTTGGGATTTTAGAATTTAAAATTACTGACATTTATTTATGCACATTTAAAAATATATTTTAACAATTTTTTATATTGATTGGGTTTTTAACTAAAGTTTTTCTGTCCAACATTTTAACTACATACATATATTTTTTTAATTTTTTTTGATTTATTTATTATTTTAGTCGATAAACATCTTCTTTAGCATTATTATAAATTCTATCATAATTTATAAAGTTCGGTAATTTTCGGTGAATTAATTATATTTCTCAAATAAATTAATATAAAATTTATATTTAATCATTAGAATTTATGATAAATTATTTAAAAAGCGATAAAAATGTTTAATAAGTATAACCAGCTTTTATACCAGTTTAACTAAGATATTGGGTACATGTCAGCTATCATCATTATTTAGCTCTGCTCCAATACGACACAATCTGTTTTACCAATTATAAATCAAACAATAACATTTGATCTACATACTTAACTAGCTTGGAGTTTATTATTTTATAGTGAAGTTTCTAACAAAAGAAAAAAGGATTTAAAACTCTTTTTTAATAAAAATAGTTATTCTACATGACAAGCAAATTTGCCTAAAACTTATTACAAAGCAGATATATGAGAAATATTCTAAAGAAGAACAGAAATTAATAGACAGATATGAAATGTTTAAGGTAAATTAAGTTAGATAAAACAATAAGAGCAATATTAATACTGCAGATGCTTCAAAGTACTATAATCATATTACTCGTAATATAATAGATTTGACATTTTAATTTAGCACATATTTATTTAATGTTTTTTAATCTGTAACAAATAAATTTAATAATTAAAATGAATGTAATATACATTATATTAAAACAATATAAATTTAGTTATCAATTAAAATTCTTTTGTCAAAGTTTTTAAATGCCTATACAATTTTCTAAATATAATTGTTTTTAAATGTTTGTTTTAAACAACTGATAAAATAAAATATTAACTGCTAATCCGGCCTTACAATATCTAGTTTTAAAAAATAGATATAAACACCCCTCTTTTTCTTTTCGTCATTTATAACACAGGGATGGTGTATATATTTTGATATTTTGCTTTATTTTTTACATTTTTCTATAATAAAATTTTCAGCTCAGCTTATTCAATAAATAACTCAGCAACAATAATAATTAATAATAATTGTTAAACAAAAATAATTATAAGTAAGTAAATCTATTTCCGACTTAAGATAGATAATTCAGTATAAATTTTTAATTATTTTTACAAATAGATATTAAAATTAGGGTTGCCGTTTTCGAGTCGGGCCGACGGTCGAGGCATTTTTTTCGGGCTTGTTTTTATCGAGTCGGGCCGATACGAGTCTTTTTCGGGCCTAAATTTATCGAGTCGGGCCGGAACGAGTCACTTTCGGGCTTGACTTTATCGAGTCGGGCACCGAGACATTTTCGAGTCTTTTTTTAAAAGATTTATTTAAAAATAATTAGTGGATTTGGAGGGATATCTCTGAATTAAAAGGTATATCGATGGATCAGGAGGGTAAAGGAAGGGCTGAAGAGAATTGAAATGGATATCAGTGGATTTGAGGGATTAAGGTGATTTAAATTATCGGAGGATTGATGTGAGATATTGCTAGATTTGGTTTTATTAAAGGAGATCAGATGATTAATGTGATATATTGTAATGGGATTCAGAAGGAATGAGGAGATTTGAAGGGATATCGGGGATATCGTGCGTTAATCACCAAATCCCTTAATAAAATCCCGCTGTATGCTAAAATTCCTCTTATCCTTGTTAATGCTCTAAATCCATCATAATTTCTCCTAAAGCTTCTTTATCACTTCATTGACAGTAGAAATGAAGAAATCTGGTCACTTAGTCTTCCAAAAGTCTTAAGCTTTTTGACTCCAGCGGTAAAAAAAGATGAAATCACTGATATACCTCCAAATCACTGGTACCAAATAAATACACACTTAATCCAAGGGCGTATCCAGGGGGCTGGGGGGGCGGGGCTAGAGCCCCCCCCCCCCCCCCCCCGAAATAGGGGAAAGGGGGAAAAAGTAGTAGAAGAATGGTCGAAAAAGTGAAATTTTTTCGCCTACAACCCTCAGATTTTAAAAAATTTTCGCCTGCGGCGCTAAAATGGAAGACTTGTGGACTGAAGACTACGACTGCGTATTTTAAGGTTAAAATTGCGGACTGCGGAAAATTGTGGACTCTCAAAACTGATTGAGTTTCAAAAGTTCAAATTATGACGGGATCCTGCGGAATATATACCATAACTCCCAGTAATCCAGCTTATCAATTAAAGCCAGTAAGTTCGAGATGTGAAGCAAAGTATGAAGATAAAAATCCTTCATGCAGGCAAAAATTTTGAGATATTCGGAAGGCTAAGGACCAAACTTCTTCCTTTTTCAGCGCCGCAGGCGAAAATTTTTCGAATTTTGGAAGACACGGAGCCAGATTTCACCCATTTTTGTCCACAAATCTGGTAAAAATATTATCGAGTCTCGTTCGAGTCGGGCCGACTTTTTCCGAGACAATTTTTTTCGGGCCTAACTTTATCGAGTCGGGCCGTTACGAGTCACTTTCGGGCCTAAATTTATCGAGTCGGGCCGTTACGAGTCTTTTTCGGGCCCAACTTTATCGAGTCGGGCCGGTACGAGTCACTTTCGGGCCTAACTTTATCGAGTCGGGCCGTTACGAGTCTTTTTCGGGCCTAAATTTATCGAGTCGGGCCGGTACGAGACTTTTTCGGGCCCAACTTTATCGAGTCGGGCCGGTACGAGTCACTTTCGGGCCTAACTTTATCGAGTCGGGCCGTTACGAGTCTTTTTCGGGCCCAACTTTATCGAGTCGGGCCGGTACGAGTCACTTTCGGGCCTAACTTTATCGAGTCGGGCCGTTACGAGTCTTTTTCGGGC